AAATGCCTTTGCATAATCAATGAAACACAGACATTCCTCCGGTACTCCCTGCTTTCTGCCAAGATCCATATAATATTAGCTACCTCCTTGTTGTTTGTTGTTGTTATGTGCCGTCGAGCCGCTTGTGACTTAAAGTGACCCTATGTACAACAGCCCTAAACTCTGCTCTGTCCCAGTCGCACTGCCTCTGACACTCCCATCCTGATTATCCCAGTGACTGAATCAATCCACCTCATAGAGGGCCTTCCCCTCCTGTGCTGTCCCTCCACCCTCCCAAGCATGATGTCCCTCTCCAAGGACCGGTCTCTCCTCACAACATGTCCAAAATATGTCAGACGGAGCCTCAGAATCCTTGCCTCCAAGGAGCCACCCGGTTTAACCCTTTCCAAGACAAATCTGTTTGTTTTCCTAGCAGTCCATGGTATTCTCGATACTGTTCTCCAGCACCACAGCTCAAAGGCATCAATTCTCCTTCTATCCTCCTTGGTCATTGCCCAGCTCTCTGATGCATAACAAGTGATTGCAAAGACCATGGCCTGTATCAGATGCACCTTAGTCTCCAGAGAGACACCATTGCTCTTCAGTACTTTGGAGAGGTCCCTAACAGCAGACTTTCCCATGGCAATGTGCCTTTTAATTTCCTGGTTGCTGGTGCCAAGACTGTTGACTGTGGAGCCAAGAAAACTAAAGCTGTGAACAATCTCAATCTCTTCACCATCCATCCTGATGCTGCCAATTGGTCCAGTGGTGAGAATCTTTGTCTTCTTGACATTGAGCCTCAATCCTCATTGAAGGCTGCAGTCCTTGACCCTCTGCAGTAGGTGCTTTAGGTCCTCTTCAGTTTCAGCAAGCAGGGTTGTGTCATCTGCATAACGCAGATTGTTGATAAATCGTCCACCAATCTTGACCCCCTAGGTGGAAAATTCAATTAGCGGCTGGAGGATTTGAACTGCAGACCTTTTGGACTAGTTGCTTTAGCCACTGTACACCAGGATCCCTGGTAAATCACACAGAGTAGCCGGATAGGAATCAGGACTCTACTCTCAGGGGGCTTGTGTGCCAGTGAGTTTCCTCACACAGTCACATGATGCATTGTATCACATTTGTCAAAATGATACAGCCTGAGGCTGGGGAGCCAACACAGCAACTTAGTTACCTTCTGTAGCCTGCTGCTTGTAGCTATTAGCTCGGACCTGCGGATGCTGTGGATCAGAGCAGTCCCTCTTTGCGAAGATAGCAGAGGTCAGGCTCGGCCTTCCACCCATTGTCCCTGCTCTAGTTTCGGTCTGGACCCCAACACCATACTCCTGAGGTCTGTCTGCATGAAAATGTTTGCTTTGGGGCAGAGGAGAGACCTCCAAACCCCAGCTACCCCACTGTGCATGGACTCCCCATGTGGCCTTCTGTCCACAGAGACTACATGGCCCTGGCTCTCCATCCTCAGAGGATACACCACCCTGGTTCTCCATCCACTGAGGCTATGCAGCCCTGGACCTCCATCCGGCCCTCACCCTCCGTCCATAGAGACTACGTGTCCCTGGCCCTCCATCCACTGAGGCTACATGGCCCTGGTCCTCTGTCCACAGAGGTGACGCGGTACACAGCCTCTGACCCTCCATCTACAGAGGCTATGTGATACGTAGCCCTCCATACAGGCCTGGCCTTCGTTCACAGAGGCTACACAGCCCTGATCTTCTGTTCACAGAGGCTACACAGCCCTGGCACTCCATCCAGCCCTCACCCTCTGTCCATAGAGGCTACGTGTCCCTGGCCCTCCGTCCACTGAGGCTACACGGCCCTGGTCCTCTGTCCACAGCGGTGATGCGGTACACAGTCTCTGACCCTCCATCTACAGAGGCTAAGCGGCCCTGGCCCTCCATCCAGCCCTGGCCTACTGTTCACAGAGGTTACACAGCCTTGGCCCTCCAGCCACAGAGGCTACGTGGTATGCCTCCCTGACCCTCCAATCTACAGAGGCTATGCGGTACGCAGCCCTCCATCTAGGCCTGGCCTTTATCCAGAGAGGCTATGCAGCCCTGGCCCTCTGTTCACAGAGGCTATGAATCCCTGGCCCTCCATCTAGCCCTTAACCCCTGTTCACAGAGGCTACGTAGCCCTGGCCCTCCAGCCACAGAGGCTAAGCAGTATGCAGCCCTGGACCTCCATTCAGGCCTGGCCTTCCTCCACAGAGGCTACACAGCCCTGACCATCTGTCCACAGAGGCTATGTGTCCCTGGCCCTCCATCCAGCCCTGGCCCCCTATTCACAGAGGCTACACAGCCCTAGCTAGCCCTCCATCCATGGAGGCTACGTGGCCCTGGCCTCCAGCCACAGAGACTGGGTGAGTTCAGATTGCTCGAGCTGGGCATCTATGAACATACACGGAGTGCTTGGCGCCCAGGGGCCTGGCACACAGAGGGAGAGGCGAGGAGCAGGGCTGGCACTGGCATGTTCCAGGATGGGGGTAGGAACCCGAAACCTAGGGCATGTGACTAAGTCAGAGGGCTGGTCCCAGTCTGGCTTTGACCCACCTAACTCGGGGACTTTTCCATAGCTGAGGGGCAGCTTCAGAGACTGAGAACTGGCAGCTCTCGGAGCTGACCCCACACCTGCACAGAGAGGCACACAGGGGAAGAAACATTCTCACAGAGAACATTCTCAGGGAGAGCCAGGACACGTGCTTATCGGAAGTCCACATCTCAGCAGCTCCCAGGACATGTCCACAGCCTGCTGGTCAGTGCTGCCCCTCATCGGCCCCTCACGGTGGGCGGTGGCCTCTTCTGGGCTCCCGAGGCCTTCATGCAGCTTCATCTTCTCCCAGGGAGAGGCTGGTGCATGGACACCCACTCGGATCACAGCCAGTGCTTTATCCACAGTGCCACCAGTGGCCCAGCAGCCTGTAACTGCCTTGAAGCCCCCAGTCATGAATTCAAATGAACCAATCACAACAGCCCATAGTGGTGCTTCCAGCCAAGCCCCACAGTCCGTCCAGTCGTCCAGCAGGAAGCTGGTATTGCAGCCTCCAGTCAGAACCCTGTCCATGCCCTGCTGCTGGCCAAGGCCCCCCGGACCAGAAGGCTTCCTTGTGGGGTCAGCGTCCCCACAGCCGAATACTGCGTTTGCTGTGTGTGGAGCTCCGATTCACCTTAACAAGGTCTGCGTCTTGGAGGAGGAGGATGTGGAATCTGACCCTTGTCCAAAGTCTCACTCGCCTTTCGAGGAACCTCCTCAGAGAAAGGCACAGTCTGAGAGTCTAGGGACCTGGGCCCAGCAGCTGCTTCGTGGGCAGCTTCTGCTGCTTGTGTAATGAGCTATCGTGTGGCTGTAATTACATTAAATTATTATTAACACAGGCAGCTGGTACCAAGCGCGGAATGCCAACAGCATCTGAGAAAGTTCACAGGCGCCTCCTCATCTCAATGATACTTGGCAGACAGCAGATGGCGCTGCACAGATGTCTCCTCGCAGCTTCAGACGGTGAGGGACAGTCCCGACTCCCAGCAGGCCAGGACCACGCAGGCCAAGGGAAAGACAGGCCCCGTTCACAGCAGGCCAGGACCATGCAGGCCCAGGATGGCCTAGGGCTGTGGAGTTAAGGGCTAGACCATCTAAGAGGAGAGAGGGCAGGTGCGAGCTCATCCCAGGCCCATCATGCCTTTCCTATCTCATAGCTCATAGAAAACACGCTTCTCCAAATCAGCTAATAGCCTAGCTCAAAGGAAGAGGAGAGGATCAGATCCACGAATCCAGTAACTAACTCATTGACCTTCCATCCTTCTTTTATATAAACCCTTCCTTAGCGTCACTTTGGAACATTCTAAATTTGGGGAAAGTTCAGACCGAACATGTACCATAAATACACCCCCCCCCATTGACAATCAGAAGACAATCGTTAAATAGCAATTCACATTCTCCCCGGCAGCTCTGGTAGCGCTGTGGTCAAAACACTTGGCGGCTAATTTAAAGGTCACAGGTTTGAACTCAAAAGCTGTACTTTGGGAGGAAAACATGGCAGTTTGTACACGTGAAGGTCATAGGCTAGGGGACCCGCGGGGGCAGTGCGATTCAGAACTTACAGAAGGGAGGAGGGTGAGAGGAAGGAGGGGGGGAAGGACAGAGGAAGGAGGAGGGAGGGAGGAGGGAAGGAGGGAGGATGGACAGAGGAAGGAGGAGGGAGGAAGGGAGAAGGATGGAGGAGGAACAAAAAACAGAAAGGAGGAAGGGGCAGAGGGGGGAGAGGGAGGGGAGGAGAAGGAGGGAGGCCGTTTCTGCCCCTTCATCTCTGTTCCTAACCCATGCTCCTAGGCTGCCCCTTGGGTTAATATAAAATGGGCCCTAATGCTCCTGAGAATGTCCTTCCTGGCCTCCTGGGGTTCTGCCGTGACCTGGGTGCAGGCCCCCTGACTCACTGCACAGGGCCAAGGGTGGTGGGAAGTCAGAGCGGCCTGTGCTTCAGGGATGTGGCCCTGATGTCACCTGCAGTGGCCCCTCTGTCCTGGACTGTGGGGAGTGAGGATCGCGGGAGACGAAGACACACTGCCCGAAAGCTGGGTGTGCTGACCACCAGCACCGAAATCCACAGAGGCAGCAAGTATTTGCTGGACCTGGAGTGTTCTCAGTGTTCCATCTTGCCTATTCTGAGATCAGTGGACAGAACACAGAAACCACCACCTGAGATGGTCAGACTGACACTCAGGACACAGACACCACCTTCTGCGATAGCCAGCCTGACCATGGGACACAAATGACATCATCTACAATGGCCAGGCTGACTGTAGGACACAAACACCACCATCTGTAACGGCCAGCCTGACCCGACAGAGACACCGCCATCTGCAATGGCCAGCCTGACTCTCAGGACACAGACACCACCTTCTGTGATAGCCAGGCTGACCCAGGACACAGATGACATCATCTGCAATGGCCAGCCTGACCTTGAGGATACAGACACCACCTTCTGTGATGGCCAGGCTGACCCAGGACACAGGGACGGGCCTCACCAGCAGCTTGGAATCTTTGATGACGCAGAGTAGTTTGGTCCACTGTCCGAAGCGCTTCTTCCGCAGCAGGAAGGCACAGATCTTGGCGTCCTTCACCAGGTCCATGGAGGCCTCCTCGGATGGCCACTGATGCCGCGTGTCCTTCCCCTTCCCCTCCTCTTCCTCCTCATCGTAGGACTCGTAGGAGCTGCTCATTGCATCTGAGTCATAATCTTTCACAAAGAAACAAAGAGGTAAAGGTCAAGGGCCAGTGACAAAAGCGTGCTCAGGACCCAACCTGCAGGCTGGAATGCAGGTCGGGGACCCCGGTGACCATGTCCACATGCCGCCCACTGCAGTGCCAGGACAGCTGGCGGCTGGGGCCTCCGCACAGTAACTGCAGCCACAGACCAGGCACACCAGCCACGGTGAAGGCAGCAGGAGAGTGGACAGTGTCCTGCGTCACCCCCGCCCCCCAGGTCAGGGACAGCCAGGCAACAATTCCTCAGATGATAACCAAGCAGTGTGGTGGGGAAGGGGTTCCATGTTGGGGTGCTGCTGCTGCTAGGCGCCATTGGATCAGCTCTAACTCAGTGCAGTCCACAGCAGAGCGGCCTGCCGGGCCCTGCACCCTCCACAGTCACTGCTGTCCGAACGTCACTGTATCGTGGCCCCCGACAAGGACTGGCTTGCCTTCACTGACCCTCCGCTCTTCCGAGCGGGCTGCCTTTCTCCAGGGACTGATTTCCCCATCACAGGATCTAAGCAGATCTCTGGCTGGACTTCTTCCAAATGTTAAATGTAGAAAGAACAAACCCAGCCTCAGGCAGCAGGAGGTCAACTCAAAGCTTCAATAAAGTGACCACGGAGCCCCAGGGGCACAATGGTCAAGCACTGGACAAAGAGCCGAAAGGGAGGCAGTTCAAGGCCACCCCAGAACGTCCCAGACAAAGGCCTGGCCACCACCGCCCTGAAGGTCATGACCTTGAATGTCTTGTCCTCTGCACCCTTGGGGTCACCACGTGGTGAAGTCCATTCACGGCAGCCCACAATGGTGAAGGTCGTCACCCCTGATTCTAAATCACAGTGCAGGAGGGTATGATGTCACGTCACCCTGCACGTCACAACCGCAGGGCTGTCACACCTCATCCTAGATCACATAGCTGGGTGTGAGGACATCACACCACCGTGCGTGTCACAACAGTGGTGTTATACCTCATCCTTGATCACACTGCGGGAGGTGATGGCGCCACGTCACCCTGCATGGTGTCCACAGATGGCGGGCCCTGGGCCCCAGCACTTACTTTGGGAAACAATTTGGTCTGTGACCATGGCCAGAACCCAGTCCTTGGGCCTGAGGGAGCAGTCTACTCTGCAGCCATGGGTCCCATGAGGCAAAATGAACTCGATAGGGACTCACGAGACCAGAGGGACTGATGGCTGTTTGCAAACACATCTCGCAGAAGACCCCACCTCCAGCAACAGAGAGGATTGAGGACTCTGTGAGCCCTCCTCCCCCTCCTGGAAGACCCCACCTCAAGGGGCCGGAGCGGACGAGGACTCTGTGAGTGTACCCTCTGCTGTGCTGCTGAGCCCCCTCCCCTTGGCCATGGTGACTGTGGCCCCCTCTGCATGGCTCCTATAACAGAAGGGGCCCCTCCCCACCAAGCCTGCTCACACTCACCCCATGGCCAGGCATTCTCACGCCCCACTCCTGGCACTGCCTTGCAGACCCCACCTCACTCGAACAAACCTGGGCTCACATTCTCCAGGAGGCTCTCAGACAGAAGTACCCACTTGTGTCAATGCCTGTGGCCGGACACCTGGTGCGCCCAGAGCAGAAACCCCGTGGATGGGCAGTGCTATTGTGGGTGGACAGCTCACTTCTACACTTGTTGTTATGTCCCGTCGTGTCACTTGTGACCCTACATACAACAGCTCTAAACCCTGCTCTCTCCTGAGCCAATCTTATTTTCTCCAACAAACCTACCCCCATTACCCCAGTCACTGAATCAATCCACCTCATCAAGGGTCTTCCTGTCCTGCACTGTCCCTCCAAGGACTGATCCCTCCTTGTAACATGTCCAAAGTTTATCGGATGAAGCTTCAGAATCCTCGCCTCTAAGGAGCAACTTGGCTTAACCCTCTCCAGGACGAACCTGTTTGTTTTCTTAGCAGTCCATAGTACATTCAACACTCTTCTCCAGCATCACAGCTCATAGGCATCAATTCTCTTTCTATCCTCCATAGTCATTGTCCAGCTCTCTGATGCACAACAAGTGACTGCAAAGACCATGGCCTGTATCAGACGCACTTTAGTCTCTAGAGCAACACCATTGCTCTTCAGTACCCTGGAGAAGTCCCGAACAGACTTTCCCATCACAATGTTGTTGTTGTTACGTGCTGTTGAGTCACTTGCGACTCATAGCGACCCTATGTACAACAGCCCTCAACGCAGCTCTGTCCTGTGCCAATCACACTGTCTCTGACACTCCCATCCCGATTATCCCAGTCACTGAATCAATCCACCTCATAGAGG